ACCTTACAACCTTTACAATCGCGACGATCTCTTCTTCTCATAAGAAAATAATCAATTTGTGTTTTATTAGATCCACTCTTATAAGTAATAAGATGCTCATCTCTTTTCTTGAATAAAATATTAGTAACTAATTCCTTAAATTTAATATAAATAAATGGTAGATCTTAAAAAAAATAATTCCTTAAATTCAAACTTTTTTCTTTGGCCCTCACTTTCCCTTCTTGTCAACATTTTATAGAGGATGTGACTATCTTTCATTTTAAACTAGATGTTGCCTTCTTCAACATCATCCATCTATTTTAGGAGGCTTAGCAGTAATGGACCGATCCTTGCTTTTTCTCCCATGTTTGACTGTCAATTGAGTTATATACACAATTTATTATAGATGATTTAGTTATGCAGGGCATCATAGGGTCAAGTATTCCGAATACGATTAAATGATTTGATGAATAAAACTTAATAAATCAAGATAATCCACAGTTTCAAGGCTGTCAATTAAATAATCATACATTTTCTTTTGAAATAATTCAAAACTTACACACTTTATCCCGAATAATAATTCAACGATCATCAACAACAACCACAAAAAAGCCTTAATCCCGCTACGTGGGGTCGGCTACTTGAATTATTTTCCTCCATTGCGTCCTATCTAATGTCATATTTTTATTTAGTTTTAATAAATTAATATCATTTTTATACAATAAGCCCAAATCTTCTTAGGTCTACCTCTGTCTTTCTCAACATAAGTCGAATCTAAAACATCTACTCTCCTAATCGGACCATCAGATGGTCGACATTTAATGTGACCAAACCATCTAAGATGACTATCTCTAATTTTGTCTGTCACTGGAGCTACACCAACCCTATCACGAAGATATTTATTTGGCATTTTGTCTCTAAGTGTAAACCACTCATCCACCTAATACCTAATCATTCTCATCTCGCATCTCGGCAACACTTAACCTAGTATTATGCTTCTCTTTTAAAGGCAAACATTCAATGCCCATTCTCACCACCGTCTTATAAAACTTTCCTTTTAGTATAAGCGGTACTTTTCTATCACACAAAAGACCCGAAGCATTCCTCCACTTCAACCAACCAACTTGAATTCAACCATTAACATCCCCATGTATAATTCAACGATCATCAAAATTTAAAAATGCTGTGAAAATATTGAAACCGCCAAAACACCAAAATCAATCACGATTCACATCAAAATAAAAATTAAAAAAAAAACTAATTAAAACTCTCAGCGAAAATATGAAACTGAAGTGACTCCTCAAGAAATGTTGTGGTTACTGCTGAAGATAGATATTTTTTTTTCTAGATAATGAGGTCAACCTTTCTTGAAGGATCTGTACTGGAACATTTAATCTAGCAGAAAAAATTATGATCTAGCTTATGTGGTTGCGAAAGAACTTGGAGATCAAAGAACTGCATCTAAACATGGTGATAGTAGAGATCATGTTGGCACGGTAGTTTTTCACAATAATCATTGATTCTTTTGGAAGAGCTAAAATAAGTGATCCGCAGATTAATAATGAGGGATTCCAAGTGTTGGCATCTAGGATACTAGAAGTAATATCCAATTCCAATGTTAAAGCTGACTTGCAAAAAAAAAAGGAGGGGGGGGTGGGGGGGGTTCATTTACATGCACACAATTCTTATGTAGTTACATATCTCACGCCAAACTTCATATATACACACATAGCACTCGAATCTTTAGCATCACATCGGAAAAAAGTATTATTGCCACTTTTTAAAAGAAGAATACACCATTTCATGCATAGTTTTAAGGCACCAAAGTGCATGTCTGTAAATGTGAAAGTTTTGGCATGAGACATGTAAATTCATAAGAATTGTGTGCTAGGTAAATAAATTTCCCAAAAAAAAAAAACATTGCATATTGACATGCATCAATTTTACGACATTTTACCTGTTATTTTCCCTGCATTTTAAATTTCAAATTCATTTATTTATCACATATTTAAGCTTGAAAGGAATTTTTGTTCATGTTGTGCAGAATGCAGAAATTGAGCACGAACGAGATAAAACAAGAAAATTCAAATAAAAAATGCCCCGAAGTTGCCTGACCATGCCTAAAGATGACGTGACCATGCCACTAATCGATCAAGACCGGCGTGACCAAGCCAGAAATGGCGTGACCACGCCAGAAATGGCATGACCATGACCATGCCATAATATTTAGTAAGGAGGAGTGACCACCACGCCGGCCCTAACAGAAGAATGGTGTAACCACATTGACGAGCAGAAAATACTTTAAAAAGGAGATTTGATGGCCCAAACCGTAGTGCTTGCTACAAAATCAGATCTTAGGGCTTCTAAGGGAGAGTTTTGCATCAGAGAAGGCTTGGAGGCTGAAAGAAGAGATATTAGGAGAGGCTTTGAGGGATCTCTTGAGGATTGTCTTCCTCTTTAGGTAGGAACCTTCAAGGGAGAGTTTTTCTTTGCATTGTGAGTTGTAAGAGAATGTGTATGAGAGTAAGGATTGCTGCATTTATAGAGGAAACGAATTCTTGTAAGTTTTTCTTGCTTTTATTGCTTACAATGGATTTTCATTTAATGTCTTTCGCTATGGTTTTCTTCGTGATGAGCGACTAAACTTTTCTTCGTGTCTCTGCGTGTAGGAAACAGTGGATTTATCGTAATTTTTCCATAATGATTTTCTTTAATCATTTTCTTGAGTTTTTTATGACCTATGTCGTTGGTTAACCTCTGATCTTCATTTACTCCTAGTTTGGTCTACTAGGAAGTTAAAATGTTTTGTAAAACTACGATCTAAAACCGTTGGGTAGTAAAAATGAAGGGTTAATCATAGAATTCCGAGATGATGGACAAATTCCAGTGGAATTCTGTAATCATTCCAGGGGATCGAAAAAGTCATGCGGAAAACCATGGGGATTGAGGAAGACTAAATTTCATGGATTCTATGTTTTGTTTGACCTAGACATAGGCATAAGGAATACCTTATCCCCAATTAACAACAACAATGTAGGAAAACATTCAAAAAAGTCACAATCCTCATGATCCCCAAATCACATAAGCACGAGCCTCATCTATCTTTAAGGAACTTACAAATTTTCTCTCATGTTTTATATTTTCTTTTACCGTTAAGTATTCTATTGTCTTAGGACCTTAGGACTTAAAAAACTTCTTGTGATAATAGCCAAGCAAGGTTCACTAAATCAACAGACTAAAATTTTTTCTGTGGAAGCGAATATTACACTTTCTCTGTGAGATCGATAAGCGGTACTCTTGAACCGCATTATTACTTGACACGTGCACTTGCGTTGAATGACCAACTTACTTCGCGATAAGTTTTGGCACGTCACATAGATGATACTTGTTTCAGGGGAGAGTGGTGCTAATGCGTAATATTTTGGAATGGGGTGAAGTGAAGGTCTATCATGGTTTTAGTTCAGGTGGCATCATTCAATGTCCATTCCATTTTTCCTATTCAGTTGGATATAGGGGTGTAAGTGAGCAAAGTCGGGCGGGCCAACTCAAACTGGGCTTGTTAACGAGCTCTTGAGTCGAGCTTATTGAGTCACATGCTCAAAGTCAAGATTATATTCGAGCTTGTATATTATAAGAGCTCAAGCTCGAGCTTAGCCTGACTCAGCTTGAGAGCTCAACGGGTCAGTTCAATTACATTAAGTAATCTAATTTTCTTATAATAAATAATATTTTTACTATTTCATAAATTGTAAATATGTCTTCATCAAAATCGAGCTTTCGAGATGAGCTCGAGTCAAACATAACTATCAAGAGCTGAGTTCGACCTTATGTTATGAGCTCAAGTCAAGCTGAGGCTTGAGCTCGACTCAACCATGCATCTCACAAGTCAAGCTCAACTTGCCTCATTTACACCCATATTTGAAAACTTGGTGTTATTCTAACTAAGAATAGGAGTGAAAATTAAGATCCCTTTATTACATATCTATCCAATTCCCATCAATGCTCAGTGCATCATAGCAATTGGGAGATTTGGTTTGTAGGGGACGCATTAGGGCATTGATAACCATTTCTAATGCTACTTTTAGTTTTGCTTCTAGATTAGCTTTGTCATTGCTACAGCCTAACATGACTTCAAGTTAATACTTCATCCATACTTCCTTTGGCGCTTTGAAAATTCTAAAGATTGTGTTATGGATCTTCCAATAATTGTTTCCCACATATGTGATGAGTTCACTGATTGGACTGACAGAATTACTTGAGGTATGATTTAACCTGCTTAAAAAGGTCAAACTGTTTGATTTTAAGCTCTTTGGATTCTTATATTAGAAGCTTTTGAAGGGTTGCTTGTTCAAAGTTCTAACAGTTTAACTTAATTTTTTCTCCTGATTTTTTGCTCCTCCCAATCAAAGATAATGTCATATTATCTTCAATACTACGTACTAACTCTATAAATTTGTTTAGAAGCTGTAAATGTACTTCTAATCCTAAAGCAATGCAGAACTCCTTAATGTACTAAATGGCACTAAATTATATGCTGAATAGACAATTAACAGAATATACTTGTCGACATCTAATATAAATATCATGACAAATAAGCATATGTACTGCTACTGCTTCTGAACTGCTTAATATAACACTTACCCAACAACTCAGCGGGCATTTAAATGACATAAAATGCCATTTTTTAAAGGAAGATTTACATGCATATCACTAAATTCCTCTGTATTTGCATATCTAACAGCTAAACTTCAATTTTTACATGCTTGACACTTTATTTATGCATGAAACTGTGTGTTTCACTTTTTTAAAAGTTAAAACATTTTAGATGTGATATGAAAGATTTGGATGCAATAGATGTAAAATAGTAAAGTTAAGGTGTTAGATATGTAAATATATAGGAATGGGTGGAATGTATGTAAATGCCCTATTTTGTAAAGTAAATGAGACATATCCATATCTAGATATCTGATCAACAAGATAGGTTTGAAATAAATCCACTGTGATATATTCTGAGGAAATACCTGTTCCTGGTACTCTCAGACAAGCAACCAATTTGGTCTTCTTGTCAACACATCTGTTGGATGGATCACATCCTGCTGCCTGAGAGTCAACAGTACGTGGCTTATCTTTATTTGATCCGTCGTCAAAAGTTTCCTTGATAACCTCACCGGAAGCCTTCGGATCCTCCAAAGGTTTATCTTTTTCCTCACTCAAATTCTTCTCTTTGTCCTTGACAGAATTTGTTGGTGTTTCCTTTTGAGAACTGCCGCCTTGATCTTTCTCCTTCTTCTCACCATCTACTTTCGCAAGATCAGGAACATTTTTTGTACCACTTAGAACTACAGCATGGCTACTAGTGTTAGACGTTGAAAGTCCACTGGAATCGCCCTAAATTCGAAGTGCCAAATGCCATGAAAGAGTCAGCGTAACACAGCTTGAAGGTTCAATTAATCTCTGAATCAAATTGCACAACACCAAAAAGACAACATTCTATCATGATTATCAGAAATGTCACTCAAATTCACAGTCTCACAAATCCGGAGTGAAACTTCAAATATCAAACAATCAAAAACTAGACCGCGAGTTCGATATGATCAAAAGAATGGAAATTCAGTTAAGAAATATGTCTTGGTGTGAGTATTTCTAAGCTCGGCAGAGATATAAGCAAACAGAAGCAATTAGTTCAAAGCTTACCTCGGCTGAAGCGTTACCAAAGAAAAGCATATGCAGCATAAGAACAGCCAGTAAGTAAACACCGCCGACCTTCATCTCTTCTTATACTATCTTCTTCTCTGCTGAAGATTAGGCAACCCTACAGAAACGAAAACCCTATCTCTATCTCAGCCCTCTACCTTACCTAGCAAGATAGAAGCAGCCAAAATCAAGCAATATCCATTAATCCCAAAGACCTCCTTCTAAAGAAAAGGACAAAGCCTAGAATCTGATGCTTGACGAGGCTTCACAGAGAAGGGGAAAGAGAACCCCATCTCTCGAACTGAAATCAAGCGAGGAAGAAGAAAAGCTGTGCGGATTTGTCCTCCAATTTCGGCTGGAAGAGAGAAATTGAGGATTGCCGGCGCTCGGAGTCCGCGTTCATGAAATACCTCAGGATATTAGGTATGTATTATCACATAAGAATGAGAACGATGATGAAATTTCTTTGAGTGAGGTAAAAAGTTTAAATTTCACATATTATTTTTTAGGCAATTTTTTTTTTTAAATAAATAAATAAGAGTGAAAATTCTCATATGTTTAAATAAATAATATCTCAAATTTAAAATTTACTTATTTAAATTTTAATTTTTTTATATTGCATTGATAATATCCTTAATATTAATTTTCTTTAAAACATATATTTTTAATTTAATTATCAAACTAAAATATTATACTAATAAATATTAAAGTTAAATGTTAGATATGCGATTGCATGAGTTTTCGACAAGTAATGTTGGTGAATTTGAAACAGTCCGTGAAACACATTGAAAATATATAACGTTACAGAGTGTGAGAGAGAGAGAGAGTAATTGAGAACACAATAAATGTGCATGTCATTGACTTGTCTATAGAAAATTACATATGAGTTCTCCCAATCATTAGTCTTTTAAAGATTCATTTTGGTATTTACAAAAATATCCACGTCTAATAGGACCAGAGGTGAGAGGACTGATTCGATCGATAGGAAGCTTATTGGTTGTTCGTTGTGCCTTAAGGTCATCAACAGTTTATCCAAAAATGGATGTTTTTTTTTTTTTATCGTTGTGAGGGTCGACTGCCACCCAGTGATAAATTCTCTGGTATGTTCTTCCAATCGCTAGAACCCGGCTCCTCCTTTGCCAGTATTTAACCCAAACGATCGTCTAAAGCCACGTTCGATTGTCAATATCTTCCATCTGAGTTGTTCATTTTTCTCGAGATTTGTGTTGATATATTTTTCATATACATATGTAATACGCTCAATTTGTTATATACAACTCATTTGCAAATTCTTTATAAATTACTTTTTATTAAAAAAATTAAAAGCTTAAAAGTATAGGTTTTTATCCTCTAATCTGATTAGATTGTTTGGAATCTCACTAGAAGGTGCGTTTGGGGGGCTTATTAACAGCGGTGGCGTTTTGCTGTAGAAACCCGCGATCGGCGTTTCGGTCAAGCAAAAGACATTTGTTGCCCTCGCTCACGCCCTCGCTCTCTGCCCTAAAAATCACTATCTCCTCTCCTCCTCCTCTCGCACGGTCGGAGAACGGGCGGAGCACGCCTGCGCCGAAGACTCGCTATCTCATCTCCTCCTCTCGCACGGTCGGAGAACGGGCGGAGCACTCCTGCGCCAAAGATTCGCTTTGCTATCTCTTTTCCTTCTCTCGCACGGACGGGGAACGGGCAGAGCACGCCTGTGAGCCAAAGTCTCCTCCCCTCCTCCGACTCACCTGCGTTCTGCCCCCATTTCTCTCGGCTTGAGCAAGAGATCGGTAAACTACTTCGAATTTTTTTTTTTTTTTTGTTCTTTCCTCTCCTTAGGATGGTTCTTTCCTTTCCTTTGGTTTTTTTTTTGGTGCATGTTTTCTTTTTTTTTGTTTTTTTTATTCTTTCCTCTCCTTAGATTTGGAAAAGTTTAACATTAAACTTTCGTTAGAGCTAAGTCTGCAAACATTTTTACTATTTTCTTACACCGGAAGGATTAAGGTGGATCCAACAAATGTGTAAGCTATTTTAGGTATGCTATCATAAGGAAACATGAATGTAGGGCAACCTACAACTGGATGTTTGAGATTTTTCGAAACAATAAGCAGTTTAAAGAGAATTGCTTGGTCCAAGGAATGTCAAACAGTAAAACAGTTTACCCAAAATAAGGACAAAATAGTCATTTATCCAAAATCAGTTGTTTTCAAAACACACAAACCAAGCTGTTGATCAACAAATTATCAGAATAACCTGGATAAACTGCAGCTACCCAAAACAGATCCTAAGTCAAATTTGAACTGACCTGAGATCACTCAAAAGCTTTTATCCCTTCTTCTTCATAAGAATCAAGTGACCCCATTCTCTTTTCCATCAATTGCTAGTGCATCAAATAAATTCTACCCTCATTTGAAAGTGTTGAATATTCTATTAGTGTTGATCTTCACCTTTTTTTCATAAAGTGCCCCCACAGTCTATTTTTGCCTCTGCAATCAAACAATATTTATCTTTTTTTAGGGTGTATTTAGGGCAACGATGTGGTGGTGGTGTGGTACCGCACCGCACTTTTTTTAGTGTAGTAAATTTATGTTTTGTCTTCTTTTTCAAAAATTTGAAATTAAAAGCTGCATTTTACAACTTGATTTAGTTAAGAGTCTAATTAGGGCAGTTGCAATAGTTTTAAGGAGCAGTTGTGAAGTTGTTGTTCGAAAAATTGTGGTAGCTATTACAAATTTTTTTTTTCAAAAAGTGAAAGCGAAACTTTATAACAACTACCACATTTAGTCAGGTCCGGTTGCAAAACGTAGCTTTCAGTTGCAATATTTTGAAAAACACAGGCAAAACAAAATCTAATTTTGTCAAACACAAAAAAGTATGATGTGACACCGCACCACCACCATACCACTGCCCAAACACACCCTAAGAACAGTAGCTACTAAAAAGTTGTGATCTAATTTTTTGAAAGAAAAAACTTTGTAATAGTCATCCTAGCTTTTTGAACAACATTTTTTTTTGTAGCAGTTTCACAACTGTTTTTTCAAATAGCTGCAGCTACTCCAAACATATTCTTAATATTTAATTCTCATATTCCTCTTCATTATTATCTTGTACTCTTCCACATAATAATGTGTTTATTCCTTTTATTAATATTGAGATATTATCACTTACTCTTATATGTTTAAGGGTGTGTTGGGTCGACTGATAAGGCTATCAAAACAGTTCATTGTTCGCGAACAACTTGTGTTTGACTCATTAAGTAGTCCATGTTTAATTTGTTTGCTTAGCAAACTAGCTAACACGAAAAAGTATTTTGCGCTTGATAAATAAACTAGCTTAATAAGAACAAAAATTTGTTCGCTCGTGTTCGGCTCAATTAGACGGTATATAAACGAGTTGAACACAAATAAATATTTTTCTGTTCGTGTTCGACTCCTTATATATATAATTGATGAGTATTATTTTTAAATAAGTTAGTGAGTAGTATTTTTAAAAAACTTAGTTGACTACAAGGCTATAAAGATTTATAATTAATTAAAATTATTAATTAAAAAATAGAATAAATATATATTTAATTATATTTAAATGAATATTTTATTATAAATAATAAAATTAAATCTCGTCCCAACCCTTAAAATCTTACGGCTAGGTGACTAGGAATGTCAGAATGACTTGTTGTTCACAAACAACTCGTGTTCGGCTCGTTAAGCAACGAGTCGAACACGAACAATTTTTTTGCGCATGATAAATTAACGAGTTGAACACAAACAATAATATTTTTTAACGAGCTAAACATGAGCCAAGTCTAGGCTTGCTTAAACTCAGCTCGTTTACATCCTTAGCGGATGTTGTATTTTGAAGAAGTGGGTCTGAAGATACTGCAAAGGGAAGAAGTTTCACAATCACTGCTACTGTCAGAAAGCTGTTGCTAGAATAACAGTTAATCAATTTGGATAATATATTATACTGCTGTTGTTTATGATAAAAAAGACAACATGCCCTTTACAAATGTAAATTAGTCAAATGACAATTTTGAAAATAATTGAAGCAGGATAACAAAAATAGTTTCAAAGGTACAAAATATACGTCAGGAGTCCATTTTCTCTAATACTATAATATTAAGTCATCATTTTATGCATAATATCACAAAAATTAAAATTATAAAAATAATCAGTAATGCTATAATGATGTTTGTCGTCTTGTTCAGATGATTAAGTATTCGGGATAATTTTTTGCCCATAACATCTCTCCAGACTTGGTCATTATCCAAAGTGAACTCCTCTATATCATTAGTCACAAAAAAAATCTACAATCTTCATGTGTCATATTTCTAAGACAGCGATAAAACCTCTTATCATAGTTGTTTTCTCTTCTTATTGTGTATTCAAAATACAGTGTATCACAATATTAGTATAGAGCTCTTGAATTATTTGATAACATTGAATTCATTTTTCTTGAAATTATAATATATTATGCCTTTAATTAATAAATTAGACTATATGCGCAATAAAATAATAAAAAATATTAGAGTTCATAATAAAAAAAAGTATAAGAAAAAATAACCACAGCTAAAGTTATAATCTTGAAAATTATAATTAAACATCAAATTATGGAAAAGCAAATAAACATCAAGTAATCCTCAATAAATTTGAAATATTAAAACTTGTTTAGGATCACATTCTGTATTTTTTTTTAGTTTGTTTTGTTTTTGTTTTATTTTCCGTTTTCTATTTTTAGAACATACATTTTATATTGTTCTAATTTATTTATTTAAAAAAAAAATAAAACATGTTTGGTTGGTGTTTGTTATTTTTTTTAAACTTATACTTTTTATGAAACGTTTGGGTCCACGTGCTCTCTAATATTAAGTTCTGCCGTCCATGACATATACGAAGTCTTCCTTCCTCTACCAACACAAAGCATTATTTGTGAGGACGTGGCAATGGACGTCAAGCCGCGGCTGTAGTTGGTTGGGACCGACGATGGTGGACGATGACTGGCGGGGGTGCCGACGACTGGAGGCTGACGTTTGGCAGCGTTGACCAAGGGTGGGCAACAATTAGAAGGGGCGAGCGACATAAGGGGCGGCAGCGGCAAACAACGACTGGCGGCTAGTGGCTGCGACTGAAAGGGGCGGGCGACAGTGGTGACGAACAGCGGTAGGCGATGACTTGCAGTGGGCGATGACTTGCAGTGGGCGATGGGCGACAAAAACGGGCAACGGGCGATGGGTGGCGGTAAAAGGTGTCAAGGGCTGCAGCTTGAGAGTGTTAGTGGTCGGTGGCAGCGGACAACGACTGGCGGGGGCTAGCGGCAGTAGTGAATATACATACGTGCAGATTCTTGGAGCCATCATCACACACACACACACACATTTCACCCCTTATCGGTGCCTACTCACGGAGCAAATATTATGTACATACACCACGAATGCAAGGAGGTCTCGCATTTTTTTTGTGCGCATCGCAATGGTGGATATACATACGCGCAAATGTATGTAATATTTTTCCCATTTAAGTTGCTCATCATTGTTGTTTGTGTCACCTCCTTGCCACCTTCTATGTCCAACTTCCACAATTGCTATCCTCGCATTAACTTGTTGTAGAGAAGGAGAGAAATATTCTTTACTTTGCTTTTAATATACTTCCACCAAACCAAAAGCAAGTTAGATTGTAACCCCACCTAATTCATAAAGTCTTAACATACATGCATTCTGTCTAATAACTTTGGAGTCATTTGGTTTGCTGCAATATAAGAATGAATAAGTACATATTTTCCAAAACTGTGTGTTTTTTGTTGGATGAATAAATCAAAATCAAATAGTTCAAAGCAAAGCAACGACCTAAATGAATTGAGATTTGGAAATTAATGATGATTTGATTTGGACAATCTGAAACATGTGCAGCATGTAGGTTTGACTGAAATGAAATTTAGTTTGAATTTGGAAACTAATGGAGTTGACTATTGTAGTTTAAGTTAGTATTAGCAAACTCGGTCGTAAGATTTTGTTTTTAAAAAAAGTTTAAATAAATTAGCTTAATTTTTTTTTGTTTTGAAATGGACTAAACCGCCATGACATTTGGCGATTGTGGATCCACGCTAGCAAAATCTCGGTGTGACATGACGATTCCGTTATATTAAGAGAATACTTTTAAACCTATTGGAAGCCCTTCACTAGTTTCTCTCTATTATCCTTGCGAACTCCTTGTGTTTCTTCATCAGAGCACCACCGCCAAACCAGTGTCAAAACACCTCAGCCGAAGCACCCATGGCGGAGCTATTCAAAGCCTTTCACAGGTTCTCCATCATGCCCTTGTTTCTATCCCTTCCACTCACAAGCACCCCATAATTCTCCATCGAAGCACTACCGTCGAAGCACCTCTGTCGAAGCACCGGCGGTGAAGCCGTTGGCGAAGTCACCGGCATTGAAGCCCACCGAGCCTACATGTTCTTCGCACTCATGATTTTCCCCGTTCACCTTTAAACTTGGTGTTGTAGAGATTGTATGGGTCCTTTGTTCAGTTTTTAACTGATAGTCTCTTTTAAATTTTTGCTTCCTTAATGATTAATGAAGCATAACATATAGAGCTAGCTAGCAAAGCATTTATGACATGAGTGATAATTTTGATATTATAGGAGGTTTTAGTTGGCATGATTGTAAATAGTTTATTTTAGCATTATATATGTAAATTGAATTGAATTTTGTAAATATTGCAATGATTTAAATCTTACACAATAAAAATGCTTGGCGAAGAAAATATTTTCTTTCAATATATATTACAGATAAGGCATTCAACTACATGTGGTTTGTTTTTGCTTACTATTTTATGGGTTTTAAAAATATTAATAATTCATTATCAAAATGCATAATTTTTATGAATTTATATATCTAACACTAAATTTTTATATTCACATTTATCACACTTTTGTGTCATAAAGTATACATGAAAAATGTGCATTTCACTTTTATAAAGTAAGTAAAAATGGAAATATTTGAGTGCCATCTAAATATTAAACTTTAGTTGTTTGGTATAAAAATACATTAGAATTGTATGCTATGTATGTAAAAGTTTGTTTATGTTTTTGAAGGCATCTACTTGATTTATGGATGTGATTGTGTTACCCCATTTATTTTGCTTCTTGGACATGACATTATATATTTTTGATTAATGCATTGTTACTGAAAATACCAGAATCGCGTTTGAAAACGAGTGAAGTCTTGGCCTAGTTGATGCTATATCATGACAGTAAATTAGTTGTATCTGATGAGCTTGTGTGCAAGTATGAAAGAGGTCGAAGTATGCCTATTTGTGTCCTGCCACATACTACATGTATGAAGATGAAAGAATTAATTATGCGAAGCTTAACATATGACTCATGTGTGCATACATAGAATCTAATATATCATTACTAAATCAATGATGGATCTGTTACAACTCATGTCGATAATGATGAGCTGACTGTGGTTGTTTTAGAAGAAGCTTCAAATAAAGTTTTAATGATATATGTCGAGATTGTTCCAACTCAAAAAGATGATCATAGCGTTGATCACATAATATCAGAATCATCCTCAAACATCGTTGGCATCTATTTTTGATGGAGCACATTGGATGTCCTTCTGAGCAATGTTACATTCTTACGCAACTTCCCGACACTTGAGAGGAGTATGTTGAGTCTTCAGCAGGTACGTCGTGCGCCAGATTGAGGGTCTGTCACATTCTGATTGTGCTCGGAAGTGACAACCGTCGGTCAGTGATATGTCTTTTTTATGTTTAATATTCTTTACAATTATCACATCTTTTTAAATAAAATTGTATTTTAAATAAAAGTTATTTTCATGTTTATCTTGCAGGTATAACACTTGAAGCGGATTGGAGCTGAAACGGGGTGAAACATAGGTAAAACGGAAGCAAATGAGGGTGCTACCAGACTGGCTCCTAGGCGCCAGTCTCCACCCACAAAATAGAGAAGATGGCGCCTAGGCGCCCGAACTGTTCAGGGGCAGTTTCTGCACGCCCTAAGGAGTTATTTGAGGGATCTAGACGTTTGAAAAATACTCTTTGACATTTCTAAATCCTGGATTTCTCCAAGAAGGTTGAGAGGTCGTAAATAGAAGTATGAAATGTAGATTTTTACCTTGTATGGAGAGATTGGTGAGTGGATTTTGAGAGATATCTTTAAGGGATTGTATTAGCTTTGCATGGATCACCGAAAGACTTTGTTGGAGGGATTTTCATCTTTCTTTCAGAGAGAAAAATCTAAGCCATGTGTTTTTTATTATCTTGTACTTGTTGTAAACATTTATCTATGGATTTTCTTTGATTTAATGAAGCTTTCTGTTGTGTTTGAAACTTGCTTTGTGAAGTAGAATTCTTGCACTTTTCTTTTGCAATGAATTGAATGAATGTTCAGGATGTTAGGATGCATGTTAGAATAGGATTTTCATATCATAGTGATGATTCTTACTTCAAGCTTCAATTATTAATAAATCTGGACAATTGGTATGTTAAAATTTGTTGTAAGCCCATAAGTTCTGATAGAGCTATGGATTTAACAACTAGGAATAACTTATGGTGAAGGAAAGGCAGTCCTAATATTCAAAGCAATGTTATGGAGATATTCGTTGATGGGTGCAAATTGGTGTTTCTAGGATGACAGACTAGATTCCAAATGAATTAGATCTAGGGCTTTGTACCTTAAATATAAGATTAAGCCAATTAAAGGGCTATTAGGAGAAGGAGACTCTATGGTGATAGGTTAGAAGTTTCGTCGCGATAATCTAGTTCATTTAAGAAATTGACCATATGTTAACTGAGTTACGTTATACACTCTGAAGAGGGTAACTTAGATTTTTGCTCCTATTGTCACTGGCCACATTAGATTTTAAGCATCTCATTCCTACACATTATATAGGTCAACACAAGAGAAATGTAGTTTTTACACCTCAAAATTCACAAGATCAATTTATCTAGTTAGATTTAACTTTAGATTTAGGTTTGTATTTAAAACTAGTTGTTACAAAACCACCCTTAATTGACATTCCAAACCATGACCTGATAGTAGTAGACTAGAACTTACCCTAAGGGATTTCTTACCTCGCTTTCCTGTGAGATCGATAATCGGGACTCCATTCGAGCTCTATATTATTTGATCGATACGTATACTTGCGTAGAACCTCTAATGTGTAAACTATAAATCAAATTCTAAATTTTATAACATATACATTATGCACACTGGCCGCCTAAAGAAACTATGTCAAGTTTTTTGCCTGAAAACTAAATAACTACATAACTATCTATCAGGTCAAGTTTTTAGCGCCGTTATTGCGAAAGCAATGGAAAGAAATTTATGAGAATTTTAGTTGAACCTAGAAGACTTAGATTTGAAAATTGTAGTGTTATTATCTAGTGTGTTTATTTATTATGAGTCTAATAAAAGAAAATTCAAAATGCCAAAAATATTTTTGAGTACTTGAAGTACTGGATATGTCTTATTAGTTACATTTCTAGAGTTGAATGTGTAGTTCACGTACTGCAAACCTTGAACTATATGGCACAAAACTAGAGAAAACTTTTAGGAGTTTTAGAAAACCCTAAGGAGAAAAGTGGTGAGCAAGTGAAATATGTATAACTCTAGGGTTCGTCGTGCTGATGATGTTAAATCAATCAAGTTAGATTTGGATTGGGCTAAGCACCATCATTCTTACATACAGTTGTGGAAGAATCGACTAGTTTTTATTATCTACTATGAGAACATTGATATTGATGTGGATCAATTACGTAGAGAGTATATTCATTTGTATAGGTCTTAGGCTTCCTTGTATTTATTTCAAGCTCCAATTAAGGCTCTAATGACTTATTACCTAACAACATCGATGGAGATGATACTAGTATGCATATACATGTAGTTAAATATATGTTTATGTTTGCTGCTTTAACTAAATTTTATTTTTTTTCATTTTAGTATCATTTTTTCTTAAGGGTGGAAGAGTAATTTCAACTAATATTCAACAGGTGGGATAATGGCCCATTACATCAAATGGTAGAAGAATTTGAGGGTTCTTGTGGACAGGTTCGTAGAAACATTTACATGACAGATGATCATTACAGCACAGAGAACGTAAGCCCCCTTACAATTGTTAGTGTTACATCATGTACTTCTATTAATCTAAGAGGTCATTTGATTTGCTAAAAATGAAATGCAACGTAAAAGGTTTGTAGAATACTAAGATTATAATGTATTTGAAATATTTTTGAATTGTTTTATTCACTGTAAAATAAACATAGAATTTTATATTTTTGTGTTTAGTTTGAAGTAGATTGAAAACAATGTATTACAAAATATATTTTTTTGTTTGACGGAGGGTGGGTTGGTGATCGACACTGTGGACGGTCGACAACTGAGGTCGCGACGATGGTGGCCTCTAGAGAAGGCGGGTGTAGGAGGCCGATTGTGGCGACTTGCGACGTTGGGGGCGGTCGCCATGGGAGGCCACAACAAACTACAACGACAACCCCCAGAAAATGTGATGGTGGGCAGCCAATGGTGACGAACTGCCGCAGCAGTGGGCTACGACAGGCGACAACGACAAAGGGCGGAGGTGGAGGGTGGTCGATAGTGGCGGCAAACAATAGAGGCGGCGAATGACAGAGGCAGTGACAACCAAAATAGCGATGGCGAACGGATGACGGCGACGGCGGCAACAAACGGTGGATAGCCGGCGGCAGTGTCAGCAGCAGGTGGCCGTAATTTCCAATAACATTTTACATGAATGGTGTATTTTAATTCGGCTAAATCGGTCGACTTCTAAATTGAGCCAAAATGTACTACGATGTCAACTTCAAATTCATTTATTTACTCAACCAAACAGCCCCCAAGTCCATCAACTTTTCACAACACAGGTGGATTACAGGATGTTGGGAGATCACAGGATGCACACACATTTACGAGCACACCTTGGATTCCACCGCAACAATAAGTGTTTTTGACACCCTCACTTTATCACAGCTCACCGTCATTTTTGATGGGTGGTATTCCTTTCCCAGCAAGAGCACCTTATACAGGTCATTTTTGTTTCTCTCCCTCTATTCTATCTCAACCAGCGCATTTCACGGCATAAGTTGATTAGGTATCACTACCTCAACAATTAGAGGAAGATGATCAACAACATCATTTCTTAAGAGATTGCACACTGGGGACAAATCCAATACCTACAAGAAAATGCAGTAGACATTAGTATTGCATTTCTTCTCTATATACTTGCTTATTTGCATATGTTTGCCTTAGATGTCTACTCCAATTCATCTTCATACATTCATCATAGTATTTTTGTTTTTTTTTTAACAAATTTTCTTAGCAAAATTAAATACTTTACAGGCTAGGTGTAGGGCTGAAAAACAGTATTTAAAGAGCTCTTTTGGGAGGTGACAATGTGCTACCTAAAAAAAATTTGTTGTTTGAACTCACAATGAAAAATATTTACATTCATGCTTTAAATAAAAGTAGCTTTTACATATATATATATATATATAAGCCCAAAAATTCCTAAATCAATCATTATTATATTTAAGACAACTGTTTAGTTACCATCCATAAATTGATGCAATAGAGGAATGAGGTGAAATTAAGTTTGACAAAGTTTCATATTTATATTTTACTGCAATGTTTATTCTTTATTGCTGCATGCAAGTTGTGTAAAATTAAAAAAAAAATTAATTATTTTTTTACAATTAAATTTTAAAAGCTAATTAGTTTCTTGTAATTTAGGCAAATTTGGAAGTCTGTTTTATTTCTTTTTTCGTACAATTGTTGATTTTTTTCTTAAAATTTTTAAGGACTGATCGAAGGATATTAGACGAGCCCCGGTCATCCCTAGGTGTGCTACATATTCAAGTACCACACCCTACACACAAGGGGGATTCGAACCCGCGATATGAGGGGACTTACGACCTTCAGAGAGGCCGCTCTGCCAACAGACCACGGTACGCGCACTCGAACAACTATTGAATGTTTCTTTCATGTCGATGTCAAATGATGATTGAGACATGAAATCCTTCGAAATTTGTTCATCAATTTATATTTTGAAATCAAAATTGCATTTTGATGTTTCATAATCTTAAGATTTGACTTCTAATACTATAATAAATCTCTGGCCAACTTAGAAGACTTGCAAGCTATCTCAATAAATTGCAGCACCAAGCCCCAAAGTTTCATCTTCATGCAGTGTAAAAGAGGGGTGGTGGTATTCAAAGGTGGGTTTCTAGAAGCAATCCAGCTGAAAGCTATACTTGAGGAATACATATTTCGTTGACTTTGTTCATGTTGTGAAATAAATTTATGGATAATTTTATATTAAAAAAGTCAAATCTAGCTGAAATCCATGACATGATCTGCTGTGATCCATGCTTTACTTATTCTTGCTTTCCTATAGACTTGTCAGTGAAATTGCTGAATGTTGAAGAAGGTTGTTCTTTCCTTCTTATGTCTTTGGTTCATTGATTTCTACTTGTGTTATGTGAAATTTTGAATTCACTCTCTTATTTTTTTTCTTTCACTTTTTTTTTTTTCTTGTTTTGTTCAATATTCATTTTTTTGCTTGGTATTTATATTTGTCGCCATTTTTGATATGTTGTTAATAAATTTTTATCATCAGACATGAATCTTGAGGTTATTGTCGGATTATCACTGTCATGACAATTACTTACGACCCTTATAGTCTGTTATTGCCGAGAACTATATTCATTACAATTATTATAGAGAAGAGTGGAGCTATGCACTCAAAATCTCTAATTACAAATATTATCGATGAATTGCTGTCGTACAGATTTGTAACTCCATATTCTTAAATTACAGAGAAGAGTGGATCTATGCACTCAAATTTATACACTACAGGAATTTAAGATTTTTCAAATTGTCACTATCCATCAGTTATGATAAGAAAATTTATGAACTACTGTCGTACAGATTTGTAACTTATAGGTGTGACATTTTTTTCGACAATTAACCTGTCGATTGTAATGAACAACTGATGGGTACGATACTTTTCTAACGTGTATCACATCGTTATTACCGATAAAAAACCATCAGATATATGAACCGACGATTACCGACGACTCTAATTTTTTTTGAAAAAAGTTACGACATTAAATTGTCGGATAGCCGTCAATAAATTTATACAGTGGGAAAATCAGTCGGTTTTGGAATTACCGATAAACAGTGGGAAAGCCGACTGTTTTTCTTATCATAACTGATGGATAGTAGCAATTCGAAAAAACTTAAATTCCTATAGTGTATAAATTTGAGTGTATAGATCCACTCTTCTCTGTATAAATTTACATCATAACAACCAATTTCAAGCCGAACACGAATACATTGTTCATGAGACAATTTCGAACTCGGACAATTTCGAACGAACTGAACAGAAGCCAAGTCTGAGCTCGTTTGCAGCCCGACTCCCACCCCATTTTTTTGAACAAAAAATAAGCATCACTTGTAGATTAATCTAAATGGGAAGTGTAAAATTATGCATCACAAATATCTAAGTAAATTAATAATAATAAAAAATAACTTATGAATTGCTTCAAATAACAAAAAAAAAATTTCTGCCCTTCGTAAAACCTAAGAAAGCGCAAGGAAGAAGTATGTGGTTTAATTAGAATCATTAAATTTTCACTAATTACAACTTAAGCTAATCTAATTAGATAAACAAAAGGAATTATAAATCTTCACTAATCAATAACAAATATGCACAGGGGATCTGAAATTTTAGACACATGACACAGTTCTCATCATGAGGCAAAAAAGCGCTTAGGAAATCGATATTTGGGTCTCTGCCAAATATGAATTTCGTTTGAATATATATATATATCAATATTTGATGAAGGAACAATAATCCTTACGTGTTGGACACCTCTTCAATTTTTGAGCTTCTTATTATCTTAAAATCTTATGATCAACTCTGATTATTGATTGTAATGTTAGTAAAAATTCATCAATAACTCTATCATACATCTTGTTATTCTTTTCACAACACGTATGTAATATGTTCTTGAAGGATGTCAAAAAGGCGAACATGAGTGTTGGATCCAGAATTGTTCGTGGATCACCCCCGAGGAGTAGTCTAAGATAGGAGGGAGAGAGAAATTCAGAGAAATGAAAGAAAGTGTGTAGCTCATTATTCATAGAATTGACCCCCTATTTATAGAGAAAGGGAATGACATTTTTGAATTTACATGTAATAGGGGATATATTGGTTATTACAGGTATTTTGCACACGTGGACTCAGATCCTAGTGGCTCTAAAGCTCGACTTGTTTGAATGGCGAGCCCTTTGATTGGTGTTGTTGCTTGGCTAAGCTAGAGAGACTCGTTGGTCGGACTGATATGGAAATGTTGTTGATTGGCTATATTTGATGTTGCTAGTTGGCTGGATTTTTACTAGCAAAAGGTCAGCGAGGTTGACTTGGTCAGCTTAGTAGAGTCGATCGGTTTATCAAATCTGGTTGTCGACCCTCAATTCCTAACATGGAGCTCTGCTTCGCTGGGTGGAACAAGACTATCGAGCAAAGGGTAAATCACTATAATGCCACAGCTAACCGCCCTTGCATGAAATGATATTGGGGGATGGTTGAAACTCGTCTCACTGACTCTTGATGATGTTCGGGGAAGCTGCTAAATGCTTTTGAGGGAATTATAAAACTCGAGGGGTTAGCTTTTCCTCTTGGGTTGATTTCATCGTATGGATGTCCTATATTCCCCTCGCTTGGCGACTAGTTGTACTGCTCAAGTTTTGGTCGCTTGGTTACCTTGGTTGGATTTTGGCCTTGATGCTTCCAATTGAATTCATGGGCCTCTAAGTCTTTTATTGGAGGGCCCTCCTTTGGCACGTTTTGTCGTATCTGTGTTGTAAAATCTCATCAAGATTTGAGCTAGTACTTTTTGCGTATACATATTTAGTTCGCTGATTCTCTTACTCCTTGAAAGTTGTGTTGCGATAAGAATAAAAAAAATTAATATAAAAATATATATTTTTGACAATTCAATGATTCAATATTTGAACTCCCTAGATTTTTTTGCTATGTTTTTCTATAAATAGAGCATGAACGGCTAAGACTTCTAATTCCTTCCCATTTTTTCTTTACTTTTGAGCTATTTGGATTTTGAGTGTTGTCATGGTGGATGGAGCCATGCGGCATAAACCAAGGCTTTTTATAAGGCATCATATTTACATGCTTTTGGTGAGATGAAGGCGATGTCTCAGTTAGACAAAGACGAGGAGGTCCGAAGAAGAGAAGAAGGAGGTTGTAAAGAAGAGGGAGGCACCTGATCAGAAAGATCAGGTGGGATCATCTTATTCGCTCTGTTGGCACTAACGATAAGAGGCTTAAGTGGAGGTAAGAGGACGATCAGTCAATTTTCTAGCTAAGACATCAGTTCATGCTTCCAAGTTATTCATTCCTACTATTGTGACATTTACTTCACTTCTCGTTGAAACTCAAACCCTGCCCACTGATCGGATCGAGAATGGAGAGACTAGTACCACCTAGGGGCGACACAGACGACATATGCTCCATCGTCGTGAGATCAGGAAAGGCTGGTGAGGACAAGATGTTGTTTACTACTTTCGAGTGAGATCGAATATTGGGAATTTGATTCTTACTTGCTTATTTTTCATTTTTCAAACTTTTTCATTAAAATGTCTTTTGGTGCAGCCCACCTTGTCAAGGAGATTTTGACAACTGATTCTTTTTCAGTGGACCTTGGCACAAATCTGGCCGGAGAGCCAACTATTGTGGATCAAGGATCGTCAGGAGGCGACCGGCTCCCAACCAAGGAAGGAGGGACCAACCATCTGAGTGGCATTAGCAAGGCTCAAGGGGAAGCGATTAATGAATACCAAATATTCCTCGGATCACTGACGCACCATCTATGAGAGATGAGACTTCCTTCGCCCGGACAGTAAGGCTTCCCACATTTGAGGAGATGTGCGGGTTGCTGGCCTGCATCGAGAAGGTCATTCAGATAGAGGGGGAATTGGCTACCCTCCATGGAGAGGTGATTGCCCTCCACCTACACATCATACCCGAAACTCATAGCCTGCAAATCCAGAGAATCAACCAATTAACTCATTAAAACCCAAACCAACCTATCAACCCACCATTACAATATTAAATTATGAAACCATTAACTTACCCAAAAACTTAGGCCACCTTCTCTGACACCTAAATTGTTATATCTACAAACATAGAACAAATTTCTTATGCATTTACATTTTTCACACATCAATTTTCATATTTACTTACATACCACAAATATCTTATGTATTTACATATCTCACACCTAAATTTTCATATTTACATACATATAGCACAAATTTATAATTTATTTACATATCTCACACACCTAAATTTTCATATTTACATACATATTACACACACCTAAATATTACATACATAGCACAAATTTCTTAGGTATTTACATTTCCCAAACCTAAATTTTCCTATTTACATATATAGTACAAATCTCTTATGCATTCACATATCTTGCACTAAAGTTTCATATTTACATGCATAACTCAAATTTCTTATGGATTTACATATCTCAAGCCTAAATTTTCATATTTACATAAATAGCACAATTTTTTTAGGTATTTTCATATCTCACACCTAAATTTTCAAACATAGCATAATCTTCTTATGTATTTACATATCTCACACCTAAACTTATGTAAAACAATGAAATCCATTTACATTGCATACCTAACAATGAAATACAAAAAAAATTTGAGCAAAATCTATATGTTTTTGGATATAACAATCATGCAAAGAAAAAAAAAAAGAAAACTTATGCTAAACCAAAGCTTGAAGGAGTGGAAGAAGATTTATTACCTTGAACGGGGTTGGAGTGGTGAATCGAACCCGAAATCGGCGAAGGAGCTCAAAATTGATAGAGGCGACGGAGGTGACGAATGAGAGCAAAAATGAGATTAGGGCGTGAAGTGGAGCTGCTATTCGAGGGAACCCTTTTTTTGGGCTCTTGCGTCGGCCTTAGTGCCTGCTAAGGCCAACACTAATAAGTAAAATTAGCGTTGGTCATAACCAATACTAATTCGACGCTATAACGTCCTTCTAGCATCTTCTGCTTGATGCAACTTGTCTGCGTCAATTCTTTTGTAAGTGGAACCACGGGGAGGTGCTAATCGACCGCTAATTTTGCGTCGGAATAATTCTGACGCTAATTCACAATTTTCCTATAGTGAAGTAAGCTTCATCCGATTGTGTTGACATTAATTGTCGGGTTTCTCATAGGAGTTGGAGGATCTTGTGCTTTGACCATCCATCATGCTCACTCGATTCTCCATAGAAGGACCAGAGGCACCTGCTAGTAGGCTAACACCTCCTAAGGTGGGATGATGAAGAAGCCTAACGCCCTCAGCTTCTTGACCATCCCTTAGAAAGA